AAGGGGGCTACAGGAGAGATGGGGAAGGATTCTTCTGTCAGGGAGTGTAGTGATAGGACAAGGGGCAGCGGTTTTAAGCTGAGAGAGGGTAGATCTAGATTAGATATGAGGAAGAAATTCTTTACTGTGAGGGAGGTGAGGCACTGGAACAGGTTGCCCAGGGAAGCTGTGGATGCCCCATCCCTGGAGGTGTTCAAGGCCAGGCTGGATGAGGCTTTGAGCAACCTGGGCTAGTGGGAGTTGTCCCTGCCCATGGCAAGGGGGGTTGGAACTTGATGATCTTTAAGGTCCCTTCCTACGCAAACCATTCTATGATTCTATACGATATTTCTCACTCTCAGCTGCTAATTGTCCGACTGTTATCTGCAAGTATATTGACATCAGCAATCATTAATATCAGGTAGCAGAATAGCTCTCTTCTGTACTATCTCTCTCAAACTCTGTTAAAGACATTAAAAAATAAATACATACTGCTAGTACAAACTTCTGAAAATAAACTGGGCTTGGCACAGGAATTACTGATGAATGAAGTTCCTTTTTTTTTTGCGGGGAGTGAACACTTAAAGTCTGTTTTCATTTTAATGGAAACTTATTTTTGTCAGTCTGCCAATTCAAAATAAGGGTGGCAAAACAAGCCTAAAAATAGTGAAGCTAAGAAATTATGAAAGCTCTGAGTGAGCTAAAGCTAAATAGCATAATGTGGCCCTAGTTGAGAACTTCATACATATATATATATATTTCTAAAAATAAATACATGAATAACAAAATACAAGCCAAAAGCTCAGTGGTCTGTTGGATGTGTTGAGATAAATAGCTGGCTGTATTTCAGGTAAATCCAGATCTAAATATTAGCGTTGTCAAGAAGTGTCTTTAACTTTTAAAAATCTCTTTTTTGTGTCTTTAAATTGTTAAAAAACCAGTCTACCTAGAGATTGAAATGTGTAAGTTACATCAGGAAGACAAACTTGTAAATATCCAGCTGAACTTCTACCACAAGGCCTCAAAATTAGATAACGTTTAAAAACAATTGAGAAGACTATTATACTTCAGAAGAGCTCCCGAAAGCTTCTAGTACTGAATGCTTAAGGTATTTGTTTAGTGCTCATAGGAAATAGGGAAAATATTATACACTTTAAGACACTTTCATGACTTGTGGCTGCTCCCTTCCTTCTATTAAATTACACAGTACCTGAAGTTTAGCTTTCAAGGTTTTAATAAAGGATACCGTCTTTATTCTCTAGTGATGAAAAGAATCAGATTCCTGTTTCTCTAGCTTTTAAAATCAATATTTTTAAAATAATCAGGGAAGATGGAGCTTATAGGAATAGTGCATGTGAACTCCAGATCAAGGATGTCTTCAGACACTGCTTGTTGATTCAAGTATTTTTTTTTATGCAGCAGGAGAAAACTTTACCACAGAAGGTTTCTCAAGGTTACAGCTAATAAAATTTCATATTTATTTCTTTTAGTTCAGTACAAAAATATCTAGGCCACATTATTTTGTAGGAATGTTTCTGTAGTTTAGGAATATGGACTCCATAAGGAAAATAATGAAGTCTGCAAATCAAAAAATCTGAAATCTGTTACTGTAGATTTTTAGTGTTCTTTCTCCTTCCTTAGGGTGATTTGAAGCCTAGAGCCAGTGGATTGTAGGAGAGCTCAGTTTAGTTGCTTGCTGACTGAAGGCAAACTGGGAGAATATGCTGTGAATGCTGGGTAGCTAGGTTGCACTGTGCAGTGGGACCTTTAGGACATTTTAAGAAAATAAAATGTGAATTTATTGTCTGAGAAGTAAAAGTCTTTGTAATTTGCAGTGACAATTTAAGTCTCACAATATCCTTTGTGGTCAGTACAATAAATGCTGTCTGTTTTGTCGATGAGAATACTTGTTTGAGGTTGCATGACCAGTTACCAAAAGACCAAGAAAAGGCTGACATGTACAACTGAAACTGAACTTTCAGCCTTTCTGAATGAGTAATCTGCAGTTTTATTTTTGCAGGATACACACTGAGATAAGGCAATAACTGCCTAACCTATTCAGCTAAATCTCTATCTATGTTGTCTTTCTCTTCCTTATTGTTTCTATAGATTGTGGGAAATAAAGAATTGCAATTTAGTGCTGCTATATCTCTTGTGACTCCTGTTTTCTTACATAATTTCAAATGAGCTCAATTAGTAGGAGGTGGGCCAAGATGAGAATGAGTAAGTTTGAGTGCTGAAATTCTCACAAACTAAAGGAATCTGTGTTTTGGGAAGTCTCCCACAGTTTGGGAGAAAATGGCTGAAGCATTGCATGGCTATAAATAACTATATTAAAAAATCTACTCAAATTGAAAGTTTTTACTTTCTATACACTTAATAAGGTCTTTCATGAATTCTTTAGAAAATTCAGTTTCCCTGAGTATGCACAGATATTTTCTCATGAAAACGTTGAAAGTCAGATTTAAGATAAGATTCAGACCGGAAGCCAAGTATGTGTCTCCAGATTCTGGATACTTGTAATCCTGACGTAAGCTTAAAACTTTGTTTTTGAAGGATGCTCCCAAAGGGAAGACAACTTGGCTCTGAAATCAGTGAGTTTTATTTTTGTGTCCAAACTGGTGAAAAGTAAATATCAGAAGTTACTTGTGCTGTTTTGCACGCAGATGGCATCAACTTTAGCAGTCTTCTAAAAGTTTGCATCTGCTAGTACTGAGAAGTAGTATTTCATCTCTTACTTGTCTCAAGCCATGGTTTCAAGTTCTATTAAATAACAACATAGTCATCAGAAATAGCTTAAAAACCTTTTTTTTTTTTTTTTTTAATGAAACAGGTTTGCATCCAAAATCTAAGTTTTATGCGGTTGTATAAACATCACAAAACTAAGACCCCAATAATTTACTCAATGAGGCCTCTGATTAAATCTTGGTTATTTGCATTGTAGATGAACACAAACCAGTTCAACCTTTTTTTTTTAAAGTTGAAAATGACTGTACCTTTATTGCTGCTCTATTTGGGCTGTTTGATAGAATCATGAGAGAAAGAATCAAATTACTTTTTTCCAGAAGGAGGAAGGGGAAGAAAGCAACCAGCCAAGCTGATTAATTTCCTTTGACTAGCTCCTTCCAGCTCAGCCTCTAGCGGCTCTGCAACTTATGTTCTGCCTCTTCTTAGTAATTATTTTCACCAAGACTGCAATCTAAATTCTTTGCTCTGAAATGCTGTGCATTTAGGATGAGTAATGGGGCTTAACAAAACTGGTGTGACTGGATTAGATGACCTGTTTTAGGATGGTTCTGGTGACCCTTCTTCCTGAGAGGTGCCGTGGCAACATGCTCCATTCTGGCTGAATTGCACTTTCCCAGTCATGTGTGGGGCATACCCATTCACCTCCTGTTCAGCCAGATGAGAGGAAGGCCCATAAGATGATATCTATGAGTGGGCTACTGCCACCAGTACACTCGTTCATCAACATGAAGAGCCATTGCTGCAGTGTCTGAGTAGCTCCTTGTAAAGGTGGCAGCCACAATGGGGTGGATTGCCCCTGTGGCAGCAGCTTGCTCCTAACTGCTGTGTCTTCTGCATGGAGGCATCTTTTACAGATGTCTCTCTTGTCTTTGTTTTAGTTAGTTCTTGAGGCAGGAAGGGAGACCAGGTGTATGTCCATCTTCTGCTGGGGAGGAACTTGGTAGTTTAACTGACCAGCAAAACTGTGTATTCCTGATCCATAAATCTTTAGAAGTAATTTATAGAGGTTTGTTATAACTACAGTTCGAAGGGCTTGCATTAATCTGGGGCTAATAAACTTTTATGAGCATTGGATCAGCTGAGGGACACACTGAGGAATAATCTTCCAGTGAAGAACACTTTTTATTGAAAATACCTGTGTCATCTATTTGCATTTGAGCTGATTTTGTGGTTTGATGCAGCAAAGTGCATAAGAAATTTCATTATACAGCAAAAAAAGTTACCAAAATAAAAACTGGATTGAAAGATCTAACTTTACCTTTGAGTAGCAGATACAGTCAGTGTTTCCCTTGAGATTTTGCAATTACTTTGTTTCTTGACACAGATGAGAACCAGCAGTGCTGAAGTAGCATAGAAGAATTGCCAGTTATAAAATAAAAACAATTTGCAGGAACAAATTTAAGAGTTTCAGATTCTTTAGATAGCTGAAGATATATCTGTATTTGGGATAAAGCTTAGTAAAACCAAAACTCTAACTATTCTGAGATCAAGTTATCTCCTAATATGTGGATGCTAAATTACATTACACACATATCTTGCATATTACAAATATCTAGGTGACTTAGCAAATCTCTTCTGGAAGGTACTTCTGAGAGATGTAGATTCACTGATGTTCTGGTTGTTTAGATCCAGTGAGATTATTAATAAAATATTAATTTCATAATTTTGCTCGGTGTTGAATCTTATTGCTAATGTGCGTGTGCTTTTAACTATTTTAGGAAATCTATCAGTGGTGTGGCTCATCATGCAATAAATACGAGCGGCTGAAGGCTACTCAAGTTGCTGTTGGCATTCGGGACAATGAACGAAATGGAAGGTCTAAATTAATTGCTGTGGAAGAAGGCAGTGAACCAGACCAGCTCATAGAGGTATTGCAATATGTGTACCAGTTACCGACATAACTGTGAATAAAATGTTTTTACACTTCAGGAACTAAATAGAATTGGGCTCAAACCTTACGTTTTTCAGGGACTCCAGAAGTCAGATTTAGGTTACAGTAGGCCAGTTTATACTGCTTTTCCCTCCTTGTCCAAGCAGTGTTAAGTTTATTGGGCAGTAGAGTCTGAGGTAATTAATCACCTGAGAATACTTTTTCAAAAACTGAATGTTGACATTTCTAGGATGTCAACAAATGTGGCAAGTTGCATGGAGATGCACGGGGCCAAGCACACTGCTTTGCATAACCAGTTCTATTACAAACTCTTATGCACCTAACCTCTAGTAACCCTAGTGAGCGCCTTCCTTGTATGTTTAGAAACTTTAACTGTTTACTTAAAAAACAGAATTTAGATTTCATAACTGAGCTGATAGGAGTGCAAAAAAAAAGAAAAATCCCCAATTTATGGATTTTTCAGATCCTGAAAAAATTAACAAGCACTGATGAGTTTTTTGCATGCCACATACTAATAAAAGCATTGTCACTTGGCATTTGTGTGCTAAATTAAGCCTTTTTCATTCATTATCTAAAAAGAAGAAAGAGGGAAGAAGGGTCATGAAGCAGTCCTTCAGTAAAATGGAAAATGTACAGTTGGAATATGATCTAGATTAACTTCAGGAAGTAATACTAACGGTGTGTGCAGGTATGCCATTAGTTTTGATGGTGCTTACATTTGGTTTTGTCACATAGACTGTAACTAGTTATTGCCTAAGCAGTAAAATATGTCAGGTGCTGATCCACCAGCCCATGGCCATGCAGCTGTTGATCTGTCCATCTGCTTGCAAAAGCTTTTTGCCTGTGGATGTGAGTATTGATGTGGCTGTGCCCTGAGGGAGGGAGGTGGCAGGCAGTGCACCAGAGGGTTTTGAAGGAAAACAAAACAAAACAAACAATTCTCTGTCTGGCTTTTTACTTGCTTGTACAGACTTCTCACACCGGCTCTGATGTGGCACATATTTTACACCTATAACTTTTAGGAAAAGAGCACAGGATGGCAATTAGAGCCCAGCCTTCCGCTCCTGATTTGGACCATGGTACTGGGTTACAGCCTGCTGCAGGCTGCTGCTGGGTGGCACCGTGCGAACCTGCTGGCAAGGTCCTGGGGCACCAGCCTCCTAGTGCCAAGCCCGTCCCAGGGTTACTGCTGGAGGCTCTGCATGGGGTTGCTGATAAGCTCATGTGTGAGTTGGGAGCATGGATCAGAACAGCTGCATTTTGCTCCTCTTATCCGAGTAAGGTACAGATGCCAATGCAAAGTCAGACTTCTGAGCCACCACGGGAAGGACGCGGGCCCGCTGCAGGGATGGCTGTCCTGAGGCTCGTTGCCTCCTCCCCCTGGATGGCAATTTGCAGCAGGGATATACTGGCCTCACCCTGCATGTGTTTGCCAAACTTTTTCAGCTGTGTGCAACTGTCATTTTGTAGCAACCTTGACATATGATTAAGAGTGCCAAGGTTGTGTTTTGATCCTGTAGTGCATTGTTGTTTTATCAGGGAATAAATACTTTCTTCACTTGCTCAGCAGGATCTGAAGCATTTTCTACTTTTCCTTTTGGAAAATTCAGTTCTGAGTCTCCCAAGGGAAAGATGCGAAGCATCCAATCCTCTGTGTAGCACACCATGACCTTGATCTGGTATTGTACCTCGAGAGATGAAGTAGGAGAGGAAGAGAAAGTCTTAATATGTTTGTTTTACTGTATTTGTGTAATTTGAAATATTAGACACCCTAAAAGATTTTTAGAGTGACAGTACTGTTCTGACTACATCTCGTCATGATAGATTTTAAATATCACAGGCAGCTGTAACAGTCTGTCTGCAGGGTAAAGAGTCAGTGAAAAAGCAAGATAAACTGACTTTTGACTTAACTAAGTATTAAGCCTGCATCTGTCCCCTCTACTCAGTCATGAGTAGAAGTGTTCAGCTACCACTTTTCAGGATGGTTCTTGTTTTCTGTGCAGTCAAAACTGTCTGATTCTTAGGACTGCTTTTATTGTTTCCCCACAAATGACTCCTTTAAAACTGCAGCTCTTGGTAGCCTCTGATTGCTGCAGATTTTACTGCTGAGGCTTTTGGCTTTTGTTTCATTTTTGTAGAGGTTTTGATGTCATGGCTGAAACAATGAAACCTGAGAAACATGACTGCTGAGTTCTAAAAGGACAAAAAAAATACGGATCTTGCTAGTATGCATCTTTGAAATCACTCTTCTGCCTTTAAACATAAAAGGCCATGGCTTTTGTTTACTTAGCATTTGTAGTTGTCGTGTGCCTGGTTTTGTTAAAGTTCTAGTGGCCTTGCAACAGACGAGTGCTAACTCACTTCTCATAAAATACTTGTGTAAATATTCACCTAGTTTACCTATTGAGCAACAGAAGGAACCTCTTCCTCATTTCTGGTAACACAGCTTTTCTCTTCCCTCCTTTTTCTTTCAAGCTTCTAAGAAATGCTTGATCCTGAGAATTCCTGAAGGCCATTGTGTTCAATGATGATTGTTTTTGCATGTGGTGTGAATAAATACTACACAGGGAGGTATGGGAATGGCTTGGTCATATTACTGCTAGTAACACCCTTACACCTCTGGGACTACAAAGGGGCTGGCAGCACTGCACAGTGCTAACTCAGTTATGTGGAAAAAATCTCAAGAGCACAGGAACTAAGGAGTGCCCATCGTAAATGCGTTACAGAGGCTGCTTCTCCAGAGATCCAAATAATGCAAACATCACCACAATGTCAAGCTCCAGTAAACCTTAAATTATCTGGATAGGTGTCTGGGCACAGGGACGGAAGAGTAGGACCACCCCCTCTTTTCTTGTTAAATTCAAGCCCCTAAAAATGATTTGCTACAGAACAAAGACAATTTCCAGTGGCAGCACAGAGCACAGTGAGGTAGCTGGGAAAAACTAAGGCTTGCTCTGACTTGTGGCTAGCATAAATAGGTTTGACAGTGCAAGAGCATGCTTCTGTGGAAGAGCCAGGCAGGTTCCTGCAGTCTCTGGTCCTGTCACATGGATCATTGCATAAGGCTCGAAGAGAAGCGCCTGCCCTGCAAGTTCGGTACCTGCTCCTTTCCCACAGCCGTCAAGAGTAGGATCTGCCATCACAACTCAGTAAAAGCAAAAATTGCTATTGCTGCTCTCATAACATTTTCATTTCTTCTTGTTCCCTTGCTTTTGGTTGTATCATGAGGTCAAGTCATGCTGAGGAGAGGTTTGTTTTGTATACAGAGGACTGGAGAAACGCTGGGAGTGAGGGTGAGGCAGGAGGAAGAGGAGAAGGAGGAGGAAGGGTAACTTCTTTTGCAGAATACAAACTCCAGGCATTTGTTAAGAGTTAAACAACTGTTTAATCATGTAGCTTGTACACAGTTTTACTCTAATGCTATGAGTTCATAAGCTATGGATTACATGTAACTATTATGGTCCAGCCTGACCTGTTCACTAGCAAGAAAATGCCCAGTATGATACCTTAATGAAGTCATATTACGCCTAATTACCTATGGCTTTGGGAATATGTAAGCCAAATTAGTATCTTTTATTATCTAAATTGAGACAGTTGGAAAAAAATGGACAGGCTTCCAGGGAGTTTTGTGAAATACATACTAGAAGTGAAATTCAGTCCCAGGGCAGATGCATTACTGAACAATCACATACAAAGAAAAATTAATGCATTGAGAGAGTTACCCCTTTCTCTTCCAGGGCAATGGAAATTGTACCAGTCCCCAGTGCAAAGACCACCAGTCAGACACACACAGAGGAGTTAACTACGTTTTCATGAAAATGCAAAGACATAAGAAAACAAATGGACAGAAAATAGCAGAACTACTAGCTATAGTAACTAGCTGTAATTGCATTGGCCACTCAAACAAACAGAACTTTCACAGATTGCTTTGAAACTATGGGTCAAATTTATCCCTCAGGAAGACAGCTATGCTTCTTCGCTGGAATGGTTTGGATATATGCAGGTATCAGCAAGAACACAATTTGGGTCTTGCCATTTTGAACACTAAGTGTTAAGAGGGTATGAATTCAAAATAGTCCAGGGCACATGCTTGTGCACCTTTCACAGCAACATCTGTCCAATGTGAAGACTGGCAGTTTATTAATCACTACATTGTTTAATTAAAATTTATGATGGGCTATGAATGTGGATGCAAAGTATAAACCCCTTGCCCTCCAGGGAGCCAGTTTCAAGCTGTCAAAACCAGGCATCCTATTTTCTAATTACTGAGTGTACCTCTTTCATTAAGGACAGTCCTTTTTCTTGATGCAAATTTCCATTTAAAGGACTCAGTTATGCAACCTGTACACAGACAAAACACATATAGTCGGGATTTCAGTACCACTGAGCTGCTTCACACCAGCTGAGCATTTGGCCCAGTGTTTTCCCCACGCTGATGTAGAAAATCAGCCCAAGAATGGCAGTGGCTGGTAAGGAAGACCCTTAAGGAAACATTTTGAGTTACCCGTAATGTTCGTCAAGCTGCAGTTTTCAGTCTTGGCTGCCTGAAGCTAGGTATTTAAATGACAGGGAACTGAATAAGAGCTGCAGTTGGCAAGTATCTGAAAATCAGGCTTTTAAGCCTCTAAATATGAATTTCAGTGCCTGCATTAGACATTTTACTTTAGAAAAGGTTCAGGAGTATAGCACTCCATGGCATTAACTAAATCATTTATGAACAGCTCTAATAATAGACAGTTGAAAACCTGATTTCTTATGGTAGGAAAGATGCTTCTATATTAGGTATTTTAGTGAATTTCTAAACTCATAACTTTATGTTTCTAGAAGTGCTTGCAATTAAATCATAATGTGTCTTGTTTTCATTCTTGTGGGTGAGAAAACCACTCATCTTTGTTATGTTTTCTTCTTCAGCAGCTGCAGTGCTTGCAGGGTTACCATGTTAGTCAATTATAATCTTATAATTACATTTTAGAATAT